GAGTAGAAATCCATTGCTGCCAAGCAGTCCACCATTGGTTAGACGGACGAGCCGTACGGGGCCATTGGTACCGATCTGAACAGCTGTCCGCTCTTAGCCCTTTCCATGCTTGCAGAGTAATCGCCGTCCCTTCAGCATTCACAATATCAGAAAGAGTGACTGCGTGCAGGAAGATCCGGCACCAGTTGAGCCATTTCAAAGTAAGTTGGTCCACCAAAGAGTCGACGAACAGGTCGACTAGCAGTTGGTCTCCTTGGCGCAGGGGCTGAAGAGAAGGAGAATCAAACTCCAGGTGGATGGAGAGAGAGTCGAGTTCACTCCAGGTCCGCTTTGCCCATGTGTCAGACGCCAGGATGGAGGTGTTGGCATAGACTTGTTGGAAGAGGCCGTATGAGGTGCCGGTTTCAAGCTGATGTGCCTGAAGGACTGCCTCCAAGAAGGCGCCCGTCTTGGTCTTATTGGCAGGATGGCGAAGTAGCATGTCCAAGTGCTTGATGACTTGGAGACCGTACGGATGAGGGACACCCACTCCTTGGAGTGCAATAGGGGCATAGACCATAGCTCGAGGAAAATTGCGGCAGATACCAGCTTTTGGAAGTGCCGCCCTGAGCACTGGGGAGAGGAGCTGATCCCACTCCTGGTGGGAGAAGAAGGTGAGCGCCATGGGGTACTCCAAAGTCTTCTGGATTGTGGTGCAAAGGAGAGGAAGGACATCGTATCGGTGGAGGAAGCTAGATTGGATCTGATCCGCCCATGCTTTTGCTTTGCCCTGCATCACCACAAGTTGTGCTTTCCTGTTAATAACTATCTATTCCTAGACTTCGAATTCACTCTGTCAAATACAGAGCAGTCGTTTCAAAAGGAATGAGCTGCAACTGAGCTGCAGCTTGTTCACCAACCTCTTTCACAACCTCTTTGGTACATAGCTTTCCACTGTCCTGCTACTGTACCTTCTTTGCATACGTACTTGCGCGTTCTGATGCGTTTTGATCAGTCCATCCTTCGCTAGCCAACACCTGCAGCGATTGCTCATCCTTCTCAATCGCTTTGGAATAGTCTACGTTTGGCGTCCTCCAATCATAATAAAGGGTCAATTTTGGGAAGGTATCCAAGAAAGCAAGTATCCTCAATGCTTGTTCCATGTGTCCTTCCCTTGGAGCTGCTTGATACTGACTCAGGAGTGATACTTCCAGTAAGAAAACGACTCGTCCAATCTCTGTCGCCCATCGTAATATCCCAATCAACTCTTGGAAGTAGGTATGGTCTTCTCATCCTAATTCGCTTGATCCATCCATCTCCGGTTCATAGGCACTAGTCATTGGCGTTGGTGCATTCTTGGGCATTTTCCATTTTGGACTGTGCTTTAATGTTTCCTTGACATTTTTGACTGCTGCCACGACGTAGTCATAACTTGACATCGTCCACATGTTGTGTCCATCCAAAGTCTTCTTTTGTAACCTAGCTCCCAGGTAGCTTTCTGGAGGTTCAATCTTCCCTTTCTTGAACTTGAACACCCTTCCAATTCCTTCCATCATTTCTTTGGCTTTCGTTGACATACATAGGATGTCGTCGACGTAGCAAAGGATGTATTTGTAGTATTCCTTGCCGTCAGGTTTCACTGCCGCTCGCATCCAAACGTCTGGGTTGGCAGTTGACGAGCTGAAGCCCAAATCCTCCAAAGTCTCCGCCAGGTGTGATCTGAATGCTGCGGATGAACTTTTCAAGCCATATAATGCTCTTCTTACGATAAATACTTTGCCTTCTTCTTCACCAAACTCGGGTCCTGCTACCAGGTAGCACTTTTTGATCGCTGGTGCAGTGAGGAATGCGTTTTGAATATCCGCGCATTGCAAGTCTAATCCGTTTAGCGCTGCTATCATTAGTAGTATCCGAACTGAATCACGGGACACTACCGTACTGTAGGTCAATGCT